CAAATATTAATTTCAGATGAAAAGTAAATCATTTTAACCTTTTTTGTAATGATACGCCAAATTAATCTTGATGAACTTCGGATTTTTATTACTATTCCGCGAATGAAGTCTTGAAATATGGCTACTGAATAATAATAAGCCGAGTTAAATTTTCATAACACTGCAATGATACGAGATTTTTCGCATTACTGGATGTTTTTGGGCGATCGGACGTCCGATAACTTTGTTGTCGCATCTGCTACACTCCAAAGAGCGGAACTGTTTTATCGTCTCTGAACAAAGATTATCAAAAAAATGGCACCATATGACTTAAAATCAAAATGGGGTGCAAATCATGATCAATTATTGAAGATTAGTTTGTGATAAACATCATACATTTGTATCTAAACTAATGGGGTAGACGACCAACCTTTTCTCATTAAAATGTTTTTGTTTTCTGAATTAGATACTATTTAAAAGTCATTTTGTCTTCAATTCTCTCCTTTTTCTCCAGCTATATCTGGTCGATGGTTAAGTAAGTGAAATTACGGACTTCTGTTTATTATTTTACGGACTTCTGTTAATCATTTTGCGTTGAACATATTCTTTTTTTGAATAAAACTTCTTAAAAGTTTAAGCACGAGAGCTTGTATAGTTTTTGATTATCAATGAAATATGTTATACGAGTGACAAAACAAATAATATACTATTTTGTATGAAAAAATACATGTGCAAAATAAACTTTTTTGAGAACAATCAAAATATACCACAATCACTTTTTTTTAATATAGCCCCACCCCGCTGGAAAAGTGAGGATAAATAGTGATGGGGTGTACTTCCTACCGTCTGTACATCCGTAACACTTGCAATTAGGGGTTGCCATCCCTTATCCGCAACTCCTCTTACACCTCTGAATAAAATTAAATGAGACTTTCAAACAATCCTTATTACATAGTGCCATTGTTACTTCCTATTTTAAATTTTGATTTGACACATATTTGGGGTTAATTTTACAAAGTAAAACATTGACACTGCCATTCTTTCTACAAAATTGGGAGTACCCATCTCTTATCCACAACTTCCCCCTGTACCACTGAATAAAATTTAACGAAGCTTTTGAACAGAATATCTTTTTTGTATAGTGTCATTGTGACCATTTATTTTACGTTTCGATATGATGCATATTTGGGATTTCTTTTAGCAAAACATGGACACTGTCATTCTTTCTATAAAATTGGGGGCATCATCTCTTATCCGCAATTCCTCCTATACTACTGAATAAAATTTAATGAGACTTTCACAGATTCCTTATTACAAGATACAAGATTTATTAGTCCAATTTGGGCCCCCGGAGGAGCAAAAAAGATTTACAAACATGAAACAAAGAAGGAGGAAGATCCAAATGATAGAACAAACATGATCTTAAATATAATGAGCAGTGCTTAATTGTATAATCATTGATAAATGCATCTACAAGAGATGTATACGAGTATACATATTGTAATATAATAATAACATATAGTCAAGTAGCTGGAAAGATACATATATGCATATTAAAGAACAGAAGAGATAATATATTGCCATTCCTACATGTATATACATCCCCAAATATATTTAAATTTTTCAGTTAAGGTAGATTATCAAGGAATCTAGCAAGAGATCTTAGGATCTCAGGGTCTTCATTAGTCATGAGCCAAAGAAATTGATTATCATATGATAGGGACTGAAAATTTTTACATTTATTATTACAAATATTTATAAGTTCAAGTCTTTGTACACTAAAATGAGGACATACAAGGAGAAAATGAATTTCATCCTGAATCTCCTTGAGATCACAAAGGGAACAAAATCGTTCATCTTTAGGTATTTTTTGATATCGTCCAATTTCAATTTTAAGCCTGTGAGCTGATATTCGTAACCTAGTTATGACTGATCTATGTTGATTGTTTGTTAAAATATCTAGATAGGGTTCAAAACAAAATTTAGTCTTTAGGCATGTGAAGGTAGATAATTTACCTTCTTTATGCAAATTCCTGTCTTTTTCCCATGTAATTTTATAGAAGTTAAGTAATATTCTTTTCAAGTTTATTTTAAACCGTGGGAGTGACATACCTAAAACATCACTAAGTTTAATATCAATATGGTTAAGTAAGAAGTTAATACAAGAATACCATGAAGTAACTCCATTTTGGTGTAGTGTTTTGGAACATTTATAAGCCTCACTAAGTAAGGGAAATTCCCCATCTAGATTCTCTAATAAAGCCATTGTGCACCACTCATTACGTTTTGACCGGACAGATATTTGGAGTTTCCCATAGCAAAAATGTATACTTTGCCATTCTTTCTATAATATTTGGGGTACCCATCTCTTTCCCTCAAATCTTCCTATACCACTAATAAGAATTTAATGAGACTTTCATTCAGTTTTTATGACAGTGCAATTGTGCACCTCCTACGGTATTTTACTTTCTGATCGGACAGACATTTGGGGTTTCCCCAATGCACTTTGCCAGGCCATCTTTAGGATAAAGTTTGTTTGCCCGCTCCCGACTCATGGTAAAAATAATGGGTCGGGAGGTAGGTGGGAAAATCGTAAAGCACATTAACATTTTATTATATGGTTACTCAAATCGAATAACGAATTATTTTCCGTCTGTAGAGAAAGAGTAGTTTATTTTTTTCAACTACAAACCTTTTGTAGGGTCCTATCGTGTTAACATATTTATAATGATAACTTGTGCATCATAACTCATCATACATGTAACTCATTGAAATTATGGATTCTTCACTTGTACGATATTGTTATTTAGTTTATTTTAAACTCAGTTTCTATGTAAAAATGTTTCTAGAATTGAAATTTAGGGGAAAACGCTCAAGATTTTAAAGCTTAAGCCCAACCAGGTACATGTATGTATTATTTTGATAGAAAAAATATGTTCAAAATAAAAAAAGAAATATTTGTTCTATTAATTATTATTCGCTACAAATGATTTTCTTGAAAACAATTTAGCAAGAAAAGTTGATGTAATTTAAGTATTTTTCGCTACCAATGATTTTTTGAAAATAAACACAATTGAGCAAGAAAAGTCAATGTAATTAAATATATGTAATTGAACTGCGTAAATATGTAATGTGAAAACTAATACGTCGCATGTGTTACCTGTAACAAGTTTATTTAGAATTTAGAATTAGTGTGTTAAGTAAATATTCTCAAATTTATTAAAGGTAGAGTTATAATACAAAATGCAAATTTGGAAATTAAATAAAGATCAGGACTTTCAACAAGAAACAGAATGAAAAAAATTGTTAAATTTTCAATAATTAAGAAAAATCCCACAATTTTCCAACACGTAACTTTATTTTCTACATTATCAATTGTGGTGTTAAGATAATATTTGTTTGTACACAATGCGTAATGTTCCGTAAACAAGTCTCGTGTCAACACGTGGCAAAGATGGAATATAGATTTTATCAATAATGTTGATTTTAACTAGTTCAATGCCCCGCGGTTAAAATTTTACCGTTAACGTGCTTGCTAATTTTGACAGAGCAGTCTTCCATCTTTAAAATTTTAAATTAATTTAGACAAACATCGAAACAGGACATATAAAAATTCATTCTAAATTTTTCAGAAAAATAAACTTTCGTAAAATTCACTAAAATTGTGATCATATTTATAACCACAATATTATATGCTCAGATTTTTTTTTTTTTTAAAAAAAGAGAGAGATAATAATTCATTGATTTATATTTAGAATTCATTACTTTTTCATATAATATCAAAATTGAATAGGTATTTTGTACGACATTAGTTATTTGGACCTTCCACTAAGATTTACCATAGTGAGGAATAAAGGCTGCGAAGTTTAAAATTTAATTTATTCGTAAGTTTTAAGATGAAAATGATGAACGTACAAAGTCTAAAATGAAGCGTTGTATGTGTTAAAAATAAAGGCTAGGATCTACTGATGGATTAAAATGGACAGTTTATCTACTATTCATGACATTTGTTCTGCATTTTGATTATTAACTTATTTGCACCTGTAGTTAGAATTTAAGCTAATATTTAAAAAAGATGCACATACACTTCTTCCACAATCGCTTCATTTTTTATTTTTAGTATAAAACAGACCCTGATATAATCTCTTCAGCACTTGAAATCTTTAAGAATTCTTCTTCCCAAAGACTGGATTAAAATCCAAAAACAATAAAACATGTTTTACTTAGAAAGAAATGAGCTACACCTTATAGAATAAAGGTGATTCTACAACGACAATGATGTTCAGATTTTTATTTCTGTAGTAACATGCATTTATATACAAGTATTATAAAGCTATTACAAAATAAAAAAAAATCTTACATGATACAAGAAGAGAATTTTATTGAATGATTTTGAAGGATAAATAAAGTAATTATTATGGAATTTTCACCGAAAATTATCAGGGCTATTTCAACTCCTTAATAATATTCAAAATGACAATATCTCCTTTTTGCCTTATACTTTACATATTCATTAAACAAACTTATGTCATTTCTCACACGTGTTTCTACCCTTGTCAGTGTTTTAAATAAATCAAAGAGTATAACAATTGTAAGAGATTAAAGATGTTGGGTAACGGAACCCATAAAACTGAAACCTTATTTTGCTTCCTACTTCCGTATAATAGTGATTAGCCGGGATATTGTCCGGACTTAATATGTGTCGTAATGATGTGAAGTGATCAATCACGCATGTGCCAAACACGAATCAATTATTGTTTACTAAGTGTTAACACTATTGTCATTACAACTCGTAACAGGCCCAGTGCCATCTTCGCTGCCTCCTCCGGGCATGCTTCATCAGCCGAGTTTTGTGAACGCTTTAGCACCGCCCACTTTCTTTTGTAACTCCACCCTTTTCTCGCCTTGTTTCCATAAGAACTTACGAATTTCGAGTACATCTTTATACTTTTTGAATGCTAATTCAAGGTCAAAACTAGAAATTGTGAAACAACTATTTAAATAACATTATAACTTTCATATATATATATATTTTTTAATATGACGGATGTAAAAGTGAAAGTTGAATTACAAAGTGATGGGGAAGATTATGAAATTGATATTGAATCGGATACAGACAATGTTCAAAGAAATCCCATTGACTTGTTGAGAAACGGACCGTTCACAAATTTCTCTATCGAAGAAATATTGAAGCCTGAATTTGGCCTGCGGAAGAGACAAAGTGTTTTTGGCCAGTCAAACAGACCTAGTCCGAATTCTTCTCCAAAAGAACAAGATGAAAACAAATCTCCAGTCAATGTCTCTACAAAAGTGCTCCCTCTTCCTGCCTGGGTCTACTGCACCAGATATTCCGACAGACCATCTTCTGGTAAGTTAATTATATATATTTTAACAAATGTTTTGCTTTGAACATATTTTATTGAATGAATCAAAAGGATTGGAAAAAAGTTCTTACAGCTTACTGGTTCCTCTCCTTGTATATAATGATATGTCATGCAAATAATACATAAAAATATAAATTTTCAAGTGATATGTGAAAAAAAATCAGCCGCCTGGTCATTTATGTATTTTTTATTGCCTTATACTTCTTATGAACAAAATGTGTTTACTAGCATTTTAATGAAATGACGTTTAATTTTTAAAACTAAAAATGTTATCTATAATTAAATTAAATGCGACTGATTTTGGAAAGTAAATATTGGAAGTTGTTATGCTTTAAAGCCAGACCTTATACTTTATTTTATCAAATAGGTCCGAGATCAAGGAAAATCAAGAAACAAAAAGAGAAATCCCCACAGGACGATAAAAGACCCAGAACGGCATTCTCTAATGACCAGCTTCAGAGACTGAAGGTAGAATTCGAGAAGTGCCAATACCTGACAGAACAGCGCCGCCTAGAGCTCGCTAAAACATTAAATCTCTCTGAGGGACAAATTAAGATCTGGTTTCAGAACAAGCGAGCTAAAGTCAAAAAATCTTCAGGAGGAAAGAATATTCTAGCGCTCCACTTGATGGCCCAGGGCCTATATAACCATTGTACAGTGCCCGTGGACGGAATGGAATAGTGACGCACTTCTGACGAAATTCAGAGACCTTAAATATTTGTATTGTCATTTTTGTAATATAGAAAGAATGGCAAGTTAAAATCAAATTTTATGGAAATCGAAGCAAGGCTGTGATAAATATATAATGAAAAAGAAATAATTTTGTGTAAATAGAAACCAAATTGTATAGAGATTTACATGATATGTTTGAGATGTTGCTACGTCTTGTGCAAATTAGATGAAATAGAAAATGTTATACATGTATATGTGTATTGTTCTGTGTTGTTATCAACAGAAACAAGAATCGTAATATTTATTTCCAGCGTCTTGTGAATGTTGTGATAGAAAGTTTGTATTTATTATAAAGTATAAATAACATTATATAACAGAAAAAATAAAACAAAGTTCTAGAGCTTTAAAACAAATGTTAAGTTTTTTTTTTTGAAAAAAGAATATTTCCTAATTTGATTTGTAAAAAAAAAAAAAAAACCCATGCATAATTGTTATAAATACTTTGTAAGTATGATGAAGCAGCAATACTATGCTTTTTCATAGTTATAAATCAGCAGTTATCTATGGTAAAAGAATAGTTATCAATATGTAGACGTAGTGTAAATTTACCAATGGTAACGTTAAGTTATCAATCTATATACGTAGCGTGAAGTTATCGATGGTAAATTAAATAGTTATCAATCTGTACAAGTGCAGTGTAAAGTTAGCTACGGTAAAGGTAAAAAAAGTTTTGTTATTAATCTACATATACAGTGTAAATGTTATCTATTATACCTAATATCTATAGTAAATGTTATCTATTATATCTGATATCTATAGTAAATGTTATCTATTATATCTGATATCTATAGTAAATGTTATCTATTATATCTGATATCTATAGTAAATGTTATCTATTATATCTGATATCTATAGTAAATGTTATCTATTATATCTGATATCTATAGTAAATGTTATCTATTATATCTGATATCTATAGTAAATGTTATCTATTATATCTGATATCTATAGTAAATGTTATCTATTATATCTGATATCTATAGTAAATGTTATCTATTATACCTGATATCTATAGTAAATGTTATCTATTATATCTGATATCTATAGTAAATGTTATCTATTATATCTGATATCTATAGTAAATGTTATCTATTATATCTGATATCTATAGTAAATGTTATCTATTATATCTGATATCTATAGTAAATGTTATAGTTATTGTACAGTAATAGGCATGAATTTCCTTCTATCTCTATTATCTCCAAAAGGAGAAAAGTTTTTCCCTCAGTGAATTGACAATTTCCTTTCATTAGGTCATATGAAAACGTTTAGGATTAGTTTAACGCCCAAGGTATTAAATTAATCGATGGTATTTTATTTCGCAGGACACACATTGCAATATGAAATCTAATTTTTTGAAATGGCTCGTTTTACTGACAATCAACTGATTAGTGTCATCTAAAAATGTGCATTGAAATAAGAGAAATATCCATTAAAGCCTTAATGACTTGCTTTCAAAAGGCTTTTAAATTAAGATGGATGATTGTACCATAAATTCATAATCTATTAATGGGAAAAATCTTAATAATAATCTCATAATAATTTGTTCCTTCAATTTAAAAGTTTGAGAATGAAAGGATTACGAAAAAATCTTGTGTCCTGTCCAGTGAAGGCAATAAATACTGAACAGGGATGGTAATGTTTTATTCTTGGATATCAGATAGAATAGATTTGAAAGGAAGTGTGTAAAAAAGGGTATTTATAGAAAAAATCCAGTATATTATTCATCAGCATTTCATAAGTGTGCATTCAAAGCTTAAGGGCATCTGCTTCTTGCTACTCCCCCCCCCCCCCCGGCCCATTTTTCCCGCCTATTGCTCATACCGCCAATGTTTGCAAAAATTCAATATACAGACCCCCACAAAAAAAACCAGTTAAAAATTATTGACTGTCTTTGAGAGACTGATTTCTGTCATTTTTTTTGTTGAGCCCAGAAATATGATATAAAGTCCGAAGCCTTGTAAATCAAATTTCAGCTGATTATATACACGGTTATAAATTGATCAGAGCAAACCCTGTTTCAAAAATTGATTTTGGCCGCAAAGAATTGTTTGAAATGGCTAGTTTCAACAGTTTCAAGTTAAAAAAAATCCTTAAAAAATATAAGGTTTCAATTTGGTTTGTTCTCTTTACGGTCGATGTACATGTATATACGAGAAAAAATCGCTTTCAATCTTCACCACCTAATGATGGACGCTATCTTTGGAATTTTGGTAGTCTGTAGTTATTCTGGAGACACGCGACACGCACCAGTCACTTCCTAAAACCAAACAGATTGCTTGGTCATTAAAACGATTGGTTCATTTCACACAAAAACAAACATCGTTAGACCACGTGTGGAAATGAGAAAACCTGATAAAAAGCCGGACCTGATTTGACAGAGCTAAAACAACAATTATCTCTCTGCTTCTATCTGTTTATCTTTGCAATTCTGAACCTCTTGGGGTTTTGGAAACCATTTGATTTCAGTTGTTGTTCAAATGTGCAATTTATATTTTTCTGTACTTTAAAAAAAAATTAAAATTCACCCAGTTTTTAAAAATCGATTTTCCTTATTCACACATTGTCTAGTTTAATGTAGATAATAAGAAAGATATATAAATGACATTTTTATTGGGTGTAAAATATTTTGATTCACTGATTTTGAGGTAGATTTTCTATTTCCGCTCTTCCGTTTGACTAACTCTGTTTATGACTCAATTTCTATGAGTCAATCCTTCAAATTTTATTGTTCAATACCGAATACTTTGACTAAGTAGGTAGCATAAGAAAACTTGCTGACCAGCAACCAAAATTATGTTTTTTTTTTAATCTTTGTGTGATTAAACAGTTGATCTTGATTACCTTCTATTTTACACAGCTGTTGAATATTTAATGATTTAAAAAAAAACACAGGAATTATCCTCCTTATACCTATTTTTCTGTCTTGAAAGTAATTTGCCAAAGATTTTTTGTAGCCCAAATGTCTTTACAGATGAACATTAAAAACATGACTTTTTGTTAAATTGTGCGATTTCCCATCTCTTTAGATAATGTTTTGCCCTCGGATATTTGCTCTAACGTTCTTCTAAAGTTACATCTTCAAATTTTTACATCGATTTTGGCACTTGTTAAACCGATTATGTATGCCCGCAGAAATACAAGTCATGCAGTTAATTTGAACATGCTGTCTATATAGCCTAGATGGCTACAAATATCAAATGTAACAATCATCTTATTAATTTGATCGTCTTTCTAATAAACGGTTGAATAATCTGATAATAGGCAAAACAAAATACATGTGAATATAACAGTTATACAAGTTTTAGACACGACGAAAGCTTCAACCTCCTGTAATTGTAATGAAAATGATACTTAATGACATTCAAAAGAAGGAAACTTCTTATGAGAATTATAAAAAAAAAATCTAGTTATAAAAGAATCTGTATAACATCGCTTCAAAAAGAAGGAAAACTTTTTATACAAAGGACCTTTGTTCTAGACATATTCATCAGGTTTAACATATGAATGAATATTATTCCAATTCCGATACGTATTTTAAAAACTGTACGCCACAAAAATAAAATGAATTGCACATCTACAACAAAAGAAATCTAAATATATTTCGCAGAAGAGTCAAGATTCAAGTAACGGGGTATACGAAACTATTAATTACAGTTTTAACTGAAGTAATGATAAGCGTATTTTGAGTATAACCTATTATGACGGCAACAGATAGACGAATAATGCCTTAAGCACGGTCATACCCACTTATTTAACCCCTATTAATGAAACTCTGGCACAACAAGTAATTAAGTGTCATCATTTATAATAATAAGATGCTACTGCAGACAGGACCCTTGTTAATTGAAAATAAAGTGATTTGGGAATTCGGAAGGCGTGACTGTTAGGATTCTATGTTGTATATCATACTGCCAACAATATTGACCTTCAGTGACACGAGGACGAAGATGGGACGAATGAGGAAAACTAATAGTGTATCTTGTTACAGTCGCCAAAATGATCACTTCCTTTGTTCCTGGGTCAATATGTCTTACAGCTGTATTCTTAAATTGATACTTAATTTAACTTCGTGATCAGAAGGGGATTTAAGGGTGGAGCGGTGGCGTTCTATCATTTTAATTGACCTGCAACTAGATGTATATATTTCACTTGAAATGTTAATTTATTGTCTTGTTTTCAACGTAATTTGTCCACGTGGTTGATCTGCCATAATTTTGATTATTTCCAATTAATAGAATGATAAAATTGAAACTAAATAAGGCAATAAAATGAAAATAAGAAATTTTATGCACAGAGATTTAATATAGCTTTTGTATACACTTTGTCAGATAAACGTTTACACATATGGTGTTTCAAGAAGCTCTCGCGCATCTTGTCTAAAGCACGATTTGGCGATATCATTATCTCGGCGATAATCCCACCTAATTTCCACTGATTTTTCCGATCACACACACTATAGCAGACATCTTTGATCACACTGTGCAGCAACTGATATGAGATGGCATTCTTAATGAGAGAAGTCGTATTATCTGTCGCGAACGATAAATACAAAGCCGAAAACATATTCGAACTTTCCTCTCATAGAGAGAATATTTGCAGCGAATGTGAAGGAATTATTCTGTTTTGAAAACCTAGATATTCAATCTTTTTAATGTAAAGATACGCGCATGAAATTATATAAAGCGGAAACAAATTTACAAACGACTTTTTAAAACTAAAATATAATACGTTTAAAGAAGGACATGTTATAGCAATGTACTCGCAACTTAATTATATATGCAGCCAAATGAATTAGGGTACAAAAACTTATTTATGTTAGGCCATCTTTAAAATAATGTTTGCTTGCCCTCTCCCGACTCGCAATAAAAAATTGGGTCGGTAGGTAGGAAAGAAAATCTTTTTTGCAGAAAATTTTGAAATATTTGTTGACGGGATGAGAAAATTCAGGAATAGAAATAAAAAAAAATATCGTGCTCTGGAAGGTTAAAAAAATTTTTTTGAGTCGGGTCATTTCTAGCCAGTCGGTGGGGAGAGGGCAACCAAACAATTTTTTAAAGATGGCCTTAACATGTACTTTTCTTTATATCGACATGTATCTTAATTATGTTGACAAGCAAAATAGTTATATGTA